AAAACACCATATTTTTTCAATATGACACTTCCTCAGGTTTCTTTTTTTTTCTTTTGGCCTGTGGTTGGACTTATATTACAAAAGCAAACAGCACTTAGCTATAATTAAAAATGCCCTGCAGTAAGTGGGATGACAAAACAATAGGAACGCTCTTCATATGTATGAAGTCAAGTGTAAGTGAAGTCTAAAAGAATTAAGTGGAATGTGGGGATAAAATTATCTTGTTGGCTAGGCACAGAAAGTGTAAAAGAAGCATCCACAATAGAGTGGACCTTGCGTTTCGCAATATAAAAAAATAAAAACCACAGTAAAAAGTAGTGTTTTTTGTATTGTGAGGCAAACATCTTTTGCTGCTGCAACTGAAACTTAACCTCCTTCTATATGATTTTAAATGCATTCAGTCATGTATTAATGGGTGTTTCTATGTAGAGGGTTTCTACGTGAAAGCGTCTACCTTGAACATTTGAGAAATGTGCTTGTGATGATTACTAGTTACGTGCAGTGTCTAAAAATAGGAAATGCACATAATTGTATCCTTAGTATTCCCTTCTTTCAAGGTAGACTAGTTCTATCTGGACACAGGTTTTTTAAAAACATCATTTGCATGAGTCACTATATTAACGAGATATATTTTAAAATTCTGCTCTAGACAACCAGAAGCATAATAAGAAGGGCTCTTTTTAAATATATATAAAAAAATAATAATCCAGTAGCTGTAATCTTGCTTCAGGTTTAGCTGCAGTCAGAGCCTTGCTGACCAACCTACTGATGTTTCACTAATTGCCACTTGAAACTGAAGGGGAAAATTGCCTGGCTTTGAAAAGTTATTTATGAAAGAATGATGGTGCTGGCGTGTTTTCAGCGCGGGAGCTTTTCCCCCTCCTCTCGTCTAGACGAGCCGAGCACAAGACCTCGCATTGAGAAGAGCTCTCGGGTGTGTTGTCAGGCTCATTCGGCTAGTCTGGACTGGTCTGGATTTCCCTGTCAGGGCGTTTTGAGGTCACTCCTGGTAATTTGCAGCTTTATTTACTAACATGCGTTTTGACAATACTCCAGTATTTGCTTTCTGCTATCTACATCAAACTGCCTTTAATCCGCCTTGCTTTGGAACAAAGGCTTCTTTTCTGGTTCTAGCACAAGCACACGCTGTCTACATGCATTTACTGTGCAAACTGCTGTAAGCTACTGAATTTTAGTTTATAAGTCGGATATACCTAACACTTGGTATGTTGTCTGTTGGAAAGTATCTGTATTTTTCATGGAATAATCTATTTAACTCATTCGTCTCATTCCTGCAGCACAATTTTCCTTTGAACATTTCCTCTAGATTAGCATAGCACATGGTTATGCAGGTTAAGTTTGGCACTGTTTTGTGCTCCACTAGGTATTAATTTCTGTTAGAGAAACCATTTTTCTAAGAAATGGTGAGAAACCATTTTTAAATGCTTGCAAAGTTTCTGGGTTTCCCCAGACAGAGTGAGGTTGAGGCCCTGTGTTGGCCTTTGGGTAATGTTGACTGATGGTCATGGAGAGCGGCTGTCACTGGGCTTGTAGCCTGCTCCTCATGGGACACTTCTGGCCTTCAGTAGGACCTGATATCTTTATATACACATATACATATACATATACATATATATAAATATATATATATATAGTCTTAATGCGTTCTTATTGTAAATGTTTTGTTCTTCCTAGGGCAGATTTGTCCTGCGGCTGGTAGTTGCTTATGAATGGGCCCAGCAGCACTGCTTTTTTGGCAAGTGGATCTGGAGGGAGGAGATGACAATGCAAGATGTTTTTGACCATAAAAACTGCTCTAAAGGCAACAAAAAATAACAGAGAGCAACCATCTTGCCAATGCAGGGATGTCAACAGGGCAGGAAAGGCCTGTGGACACTTTTTTTATTCACCTTACTGATGGCAGCATTCAGGGAGGGAGGAAGTAGGCACAGAGTTTTACAAGAAAAGTCAATTCTGTATCGTAGTTTTAAAGCTAAAATTTGGACCCCCCCCAAAAAAAGAAACAAAACCCTTTAATCAGAAATTATTTTCCCTGGTGAGTTCTCTTATGGTAATGTTAATTAAAATAAATGACTTCAAAACTTCAAAAGAGCTACTAAAATTAATCTTTTGTCTGAATTTCTGGCAAATAGAAACCCCAACTTGTTAGCTTTATTTACTTTGGAGTTGACATCTTGCCTCTGTGTTTTACCTCCACCATTGGGGAAATGTGGAAAGCTTTAAACTAGGTATCAACGTGAAGACTCTGGGAAAGGATGGAGTATTTAGGCTGAAGTCACATGCTGAGTGTTTTAACTTCAAGCAGTGCAGTGTTTGATGTTTGTCTTTCAAATAGAAGCAGTATGTCCTTTACCACACCAGTTTTCACAAGGTATTGGCATTTTATGTTTACTTTATAGTATTTCACTCTGCCTTTGTGTTATACTTGTTAAGAATATCTGCAAATGTTGAACCCTTTCAAATCAACTTTTCTAGTCTTCCAAAGCAGCTTTTTTTTTTTTCTTTTCTGGTTACAGTTTCTTACTGTCTAAAGTTGAAAAATGAGTCCTAAAGTGCTGTAATTATCAGATAGTTAATATTGAGGCCAATCTTTAAGTCTCTTTTGCAAAAGTAAGTGTTAATGACCTTCTTAGTTCCTTGCGTTTCAAAGACTTTCTTTTTTTTTTTTAATTCTATTGGGAAAAACAGAAAACTGCGCTTTAATGGCTCTTTGCTTCCTCCTTGTTGGAGGGATGGGGGACAATGCAAAAGGAGAACAATTTTCTTTTTCTTTTTCTTTTTTTTTGTACACCATTTTCTTGTACATTGTGATCTCTTTAAGTACTACAGGGTTGGACTGAAAAAGGCTGAATTCAAGGATGTTATTTGGGCAAAATACTTACTGATTTTTAAATGCAATTTGACGAAATAAGATTTGAGCCAGAACAGGAGAAAGACATACTTGAAAGTATAGGGCAAGTGCTTGTTTTTCTTAAGTAGTATTTTATGTTTTTTATTTTTCTTCTCAAGTAGCATTTTATATGTTGCACATGTTGCTGCATATATTTTACGTGAGCAGATTCTTGCTGGGATGTGTACCAAAATGTCGTTAGTACTGTGAAGTCCACAAATCACTTTTATCTACAAAATAAATATGTTAGGAAAAATGATTTCATGCTCTTTATTTTTATTTCCTCCTTTGCTGTTCCTTGCTTATGTTGCAGACAAGATACAGACGTGACGATATCATGCTCTGTAGCTGTTGTAAGCACTTTTTAAAATTATGGGTCCTGTTTTCTCAATTTAGCTTCAGCCCTGTCCACGTGCTGTTAAAGATTAATGTAAAGTCTCTTATTAATATTGTGGAAAATGACCTGCTACTAGCTCATTGCTAAAGACTCAGAGATCATCTGTTAAGCACCATCTAGCAGCCCCCACTGTAGAGGAACTCGGGGTTCAGGAAAAGGCATTACTTTAAATAAAATACTTGTGAATGGCCCTTGGATTTAATTCCCTCTGCTTTCCTGTTGCTCGGAAATGCGAATCACCCAGGAGAAGTTGTCAACATCCTGGAAGTGTGATCTTTACACTGTAATTTTTCTAGATATAGTGTGTCCTCAGTTCTATATCTGTAGCATATTTGTCATTGGCACGAACTTAGGGAGAAAGCTTAGCTATTGTATTTATATTTTTGTGAGTATTTCTCAGTTGCACCTCAAAAGGATACTGTTTGGCCTCATTTCTGGAAGCTGAAGGGAGAGGGAATTCTAATGGTCAACTAGAGCAGACATCCCAAGTAAATACTGCCTTTTTTAAATACGGCCGTATTGCCTATTACCATTTCAGACAGAAGACAAGTGAGACTGAAAGCCAGTCTGCAGATTGACAATCAAAGAAAAACCACCAAAATGACTAGGCATTGCGCAGTAATTCCCCTAGACGGCCACCCCTGGTGACACGATCTGCATCTCTGTCAGTAAGCGAAAGGGCAAGGACGGAGGGTTTGGCATCCGTGGCAGGCGCTCCTCTTGGGACGAAGCCTGATGGAGGGATGAGGTGAGGCTTTTTCCTTCACACTCGCTCAGAAAGACGGGAGTTGGGTCTCGTGCGGTGCCTTGCTCAGCATTAGGCAGCCACGCTGGGTCCTTCTATGCCCGGAGCAGGAAGGGAGAGCACTAAGAAGGAAGACCAGGGAGCAAAGCTTCTTGTTTCAGCGCTTGCTCGTGTATGGATTTTTCCTGCTGGCTGAGCCGTGGGTAGGGGAGATCATTCATTTCTTCATAATGAGCAAGATGGAGAAACTGCAGCCTGCCTGCCTGTAGCATCCAGACGATCTAAAGAGGTTTCAGAAGTTCATGGACTTCGTAAAGCAAACTGGCCTGTGGGAGTTGAGTGTGCAGACGTGGCGTGCTTGATTGCAATTAGTTGGGAGACTGGCAAATTGGCTTTGGGAGGGTAGTTAAGGAATAATTGGCTGTGTCTGGACAGGATTGTTGCAAACTACCTTGTTGCCATACAACTGCGGCTGTTTTTCGTGGTTCAAGTCCTTTCTCATGTGTGGCAGTTATTAGTTTTATTCATAGTGTTGGCTTACCCCAGATATGCAAGGTGCTACACAGACACGTGAGAACACACAGTCCCTGTATGGAGCAAATCGTAAACAACATGACCTAGATTTATTTATTTATTTACTTATTTATTTAGTCTGTGAAAAGAGTACAAGCATCAGAAGTTGAATTTCCCCAGATGGCGAATCTGGTTTACTAGCGGATTGATTATGGTGGTCTGAAATGTGTAATGGATAGTTGGGTATCATCAATACTTGCAGTGCCTAAAACTACTGTATTATTTATTTTGGTGATAAAATACCAATATCTTTCAACTGTTATGGCATCTCATTGAGAAATAATTCATTGCTTTTAACTGTCATTCTAGAGGTGAAGAATGTAAGCACCGATGTCCTAACAAATTTTGTTTTGTTTTGTTTTTTTGCCTTTCAGAGTGCAAATTCACCTGCGCCAGTGGTAAATGCTTGTATCTTGGTTCATTGATTTGTAACCAACAGAATGACTGTGGGGATAACAGTGATGAAGAGAACTGTCTGCTCGTAACAGAGCATCCACCTCCAGGCATCTTTAGCTGTAAGTACTTGCTCTTTGGGAGCCTCCGTGTACACAGAACGTGTCTGTGGCCTCAGAAATGAGCGTGTTTGCACACTCAGTCTGCTGTGTGTCACCCGAGAGGGGATGAAGCAGAGAGAGGAAGCACAGTGTTCCCTGGACCAGCGGTCATTTGTAGCATGCTTTCTCTAGCTTTCTAAATCTGGATGGCTGTAGTTATACGAAGGGAAGGGAGGAGGTTGTGCTGCAGGTATTGATGTCGTATTACATTCTCATGCATCATACGTGCTTTTGCGCAAGATAGCATAATATGACAAATGCCAAAATAATTTGTTTGCCAAGGTTCAAAAAATGTTTTGTGCTCTGTCAGTTTGTCAGTTTTTATATGCTATTAAGACACTGACAATGTTTGCAGTCAACATCCCTTCTAATCAAATAATTTTTCTTGATGAGATCAGCATCACTTCGTAGGTCACTGAGCTTTTTTTGGGCACATATTAAAAATAGCTTTAGTTGCTATACTTTGGTGTATAAATACTCACGCAGAGTGATAGAGCTTGTCACTGGAATAACTCTCCTAGTGCTTAGTCCTCAGCGATGTACGCTGAAATCAAGCTTTATGTTTTTCCTGTTCTGCTGTTATTTATTTCTGGATCACAGTCCAGCTTTCTGGTGGGAGGACTAATTTTCCAATAATGCTTCTGGTTTTCAAATACAATAGATTTGCTGTTACTGTGTTGATTTCCTTTTGTACATCATGGCACAGTATTACCTCAACATTTTCTTTAAAGAAGATTAAAATTCTGCTTTTGGGAATGCTTTATCTAATGCAGGAATAGCAGGAACAAGTGCTGCTTGTAATAGGAAAATGACTTTTTTGTATGGGCCCTAAGCCATCTCCTTCCAGGTAGGGCTGCAAATTGTTTGGCTGGAAATCAATAAGGCCATACTACCATTAATATCTACTGGAGAAGCTTCCATATGGAGTTAGGTGTCTAGCACGGTTTCCCAAACGGTTTGGTTCTGTCTGATATTGACATCTCTGAATAAGCTTTTTACAACCCTGTCTGTGAATATGGCTTAGGCATATCTGTGTTTTTTTTCTGGTGTTGTTGTTAAGGGAAATAACAAGCACATATCTCTATTAACAGAAAATTGCAGTATTAGGTATATTCTCAGGATTTTGAACCACAGAATCACAGAATGGTTGAGGTTGGAAGGGACCTCTAGAGATCATCTAGTCCAACCCCCCTGCACACGCAGGGTCACCTAGAGCACATGGCACAGGACTGCGTCCAAGCGGGTTTGGAAGATCTCCAGAGAAGGAGACTCCACAACCTCTCTGGGCAGCCTGTGCCAGGGCTCTGTCACCCTCACAGGAAAGAAGTTCTTCCTCATATATAGATAGAACTTCCGTCATTAGAGAAATAAGATTTCCTATAATAATGGAAATTTAATGCAGACGTTATAAATACGTTACCTTCAAGCCCTTCCCTCAGACCGTCAATTTAACATGTTTTAAAACAACTGGTCTCATACTTCTTCCCTCATTTCAGAGGTTTTGAAACAGCAGTGGCCTGCGGATGATTGTATATGATGCTGTACCATACTTCAGTGTTTTTTTAGAATGGAAATCTCTCCATAGTTCCAGTACTAGCTACAGGCACTAGTGACAGGTCCAGGTCAAAGCGTTGTAGGTGTTACTCCATGAAGTAATAATTTTTGCATGCCTTGTCCCTCAAGATTAACCAGAGGGCTTGTTTGCCCGAGATGCTGAGCCGGTGGGAGCGGGCCGGCCCAGCAAGCGGCCCCGAGGCGGCCTGAGAGCTCCGCTGTGGTAGGCGCTGGCAAGAGGATGTCCCTGGGGTGCCCTCCCACCACACGTTTCGTAGAGCTGGGGACCTGCTTGCTCTAGGGATGATGCCACAAGACTGAGATCAGGTTTGAACGTTTGTTCCTCCCTTGGTAGCCCACGAGGCCGGGAAGCCAGGAGCTAGTAGCTTTTAACGCCTCTATGTGGCGGTGGTAATCATGGTGCAACGGGTAGCAACCCTTGGCCCTGCGTTCTCCGCCGGTGCCTCTCCGTTGAGGTGCTCGGCAATCCTTCCTGTGGAAAGTTTTGTATGAATTAAGGTGACCACACTTCTACCTTCAGCAGATGGCAAGAATTGTTTGCCTCCTCCTTACATCAGCCTTCTACAGAGGCAGAAACTGTTATGGCGTGTGTGACAGTTTCCCTCTGATAACTTTTTTTTTTTTTTTAAATCTAACAAACCAAACTTTTGCACATAAATCATGTTTTCTTAATTTGGTTATGCTTGTTCATCTTCTCTGGCTCTCTCCAAAATATGGTGTCCCAATCCATAGTCCCATTACTTAAGACCTCCCCAGTGCTGAGCGAAGTGGAATAATTATATAAACAGCCCTGTTCAGTCATCCAAGAATTATGTTTGCTGTTTTTGTAACAACATTGCAAATTGGTAGTTTGTAGGGGAAATATGTGATTTATTGCTAGGAGCATTCTGAGATGTTTAACTTTTTCCTTACCTTGTGGCAGAGAGAATAGTTCGTGTTTTGATGCACTTCTTGATATTGAAAGTGATTGTACTTGTTTTTTGCGATAGGGATTATGTTATGTGAGCTGGTAAATAAAGAGGCATCTGTTTGAAATAAAGAAAATAAATAGCATGGTAAAACAATAGTTCTAAAGGTGAAAAAGAGGAAAAAAATATCAAAGCCAAATAGAAAAATAGTACAACCGCAAACAGTATTTAAAACAAATGAGAAATACTGATATTTATCATGCTCCGGCTAGTAACTGTTAAAAGGTGGAAATCAGTGCCAATTCGTAATATGAAATAACATTGTTATGAATATGGCAGTTAGTTGTATTAGTTGTACTGGCTTATTCCAGCCTTGAAAGCAAGTTTCTAGAATACTTGTTGAAGTGAGGTCCCCAGGCTTTAAAGGGATGACATGTTGAATTAAGAAAGTTTGGCATGCTTTTGCTCAATGATTTTAATGGGGATCCCTACCAGAGCTTTAGTTATATGTGCTTGAAATGTCGCAGCTGGCATGGCTGCCTTGCGGCACAGACGCAGGTATGTTGATTGGTCTCTAATTAGTGACAAGAACGAGGCGTTAAAGCAGGAAAATGAGTGTTTAAAAGAAATGATTTGAGGTAAAAGGTAGGATTTTCTTGGACCAGTCAGTATTATGTGTTACCTCTGTTCTTGCTTTTGTGTGCACTCTTCAAGTACAAGTAGCGATGTATAAATGTGGGTTGCTCTAAATTTGAGTGACCAGATTGCCTTTCTCCTTCACCTTGGGATCACTTCTGTCTTCACCTAGAGCAGGTTGGTACGAACGTGGTCCTCCTTTTCTGTATCACTTCTCCAGAAATCTATTTCTCATCCTGAATTCAAACCTTGTATCATGCTGTAGAAACAATATTCATCACGTTTCACAGTAATACATAGCTTGCCCCCAAAGGACATCTAAATAAATGTTCATAGGGAAGCTCCGCTTCAGTTTATTTAAGCGGTATGAGCCATGGCATTGGTACCCTGTATTTCCTGGCTACTGAAGCATTTCTCATTTGTGCTCTTGCCGGCAGCCAAATCCAGAATGTCTCATTGGAGCTTATTGTGCAGTTCGGCTGCATGAGCAATGCTGGAGAGAGACGTTTTCTGTGGGTGACCTGCTCCCTGGTTTTGTGATCCTAGCAGACACCATCACATTGTGTTAGTGTGCTTTCAGTTCCACAGACCTGGTGTTCATCTCTCCTTACTATTCTTATCCGGCTGCATTGTGAAGGCTCTTGATTCCGTCTTTCTAAATATTGCCATTGAATGTAAGAAAACATGTCTCACATATGCAAAGTCAAACAAATAACATATGTTTCTGCAGTCCTTTGGTTTAGTAATTTTGTTTTGCTGACTTGTAGGTAGGCTTTCCTTAGCTTCCTCTGTAGGCAGTTTATTTTTGTATAGCACTGAGAGATTAGAGGGCAGGTAGGTGAAATCTGCATCAAATAAAGGATGTATTAGCTAATGTGTGTTAAAACCTGATTTCAGACTGCAAAGGTTGCAGATCCAGCAAGTGTTAATCGGTCACAGGAAAGGCTAAGGCATTTAACCCAAGCATGTTAAAATAATAGTTTGCGGTGTTCACACTGGGATTTTTAACATAGTTTAGTTAACATGTTTTAAAATGTAACTCTCCTTCTGTTTTTCACACCTTGCTAGAAGTAGCCTCTTGTGAAAGCTATCAAAAAGTGTCAACTTTTGGTGGGTCCACTTGTTATTTTTATTTTTGCAAACTGAAAATACTTACTAGTTATCGAGACCACGGAGATGACTGTTGCTAGAGAGCTGCTCCGAGGTCCATGGTGTGCTAACTGCACAGTGGCAGGATAGGAAAAACGGGATTAGCAGCAGGCTCCAAACCTGCCCAGCCGTGGCCTTGTCGGCAGCTTGCAGGTGCATGGGACCTGCAAAATTTGCACTGGGAGGAACTGGAGCAACGTGCCTGCTTCTAGCAGGCCACCGTTCATTCGTTAGAGCATTTCCCTTTGTTTTGCCACAGATGATCAGCCTGCCTTGTCCTGCTAGGAGGAAATTAGATTTGGACGTGGAAGGCGTCGTCTGCTGTCTGTTTGCAGGCTGCAGCACTGAAGTCTGGCTAACTGCAACGTGTGCTAGAGACGGTGGAGATCTTAGTTCTTGAATTACTCGCTGGAAAACAAGATGGATAATCACCTTTGCTGGGATCTGTGTGCATGGGAATATGATTTAAACACCCCACACTGATACCTATGCAAATTTGAACGGATAATAAGATACATGAGGCTGTCCCTCTCTAGTTGTGTGAAAATTATTTTTGCCAAATTTCAAGTTGACAACGTTGATGGTGCTGATGTGTCAGGAGTGTTCAGGCCCCACAGAGTTAGAGTCTGCCGTAGGAGTTCATTTTCCTCTGTGAGGTAAAACATATATATATAGCCCTTCTTTCACCACCCC